CGTGTGCAGACTGGCATGAGCCACACGGTATAGATGGTCCTGCTCGAGGAGGCTCGGCGTAGGGGCCACGAAGTCCTGGGCTCGCGGATGGGCGTCTGGAGATGCCTTCATGCACCGCGCGCTCTCGCGCAACACTTCAGTATACACCACAGCCGCAAGAAAGGTGTGGCTGGTTGAAAGGCTGGATGGACGTGCAGAAAAGGTCGCGACGTGCTACACGAAATGCGACAGAAACTTCTTGACACTTACCCGAAGGAGATACCGGAACCTGTGGCGCATCAGCCGGACAAATTTCATGCAGCTTCTTTCACACGTGCAATAAAGAATCGCGTGACAAAACGAACCACCGAGCGGATACGACACAATGATGTACCATTTTTGTTTTGCTGGTCCGAACGAAAAAAAAGAAAAACGTAAGGAGCGAAAGTATGCAGGCCGAACTGTTTAGAAAACATCAGAACCTAAACCCTGAGACAAGAAATAAAATAACGAACAAGACGACGCACATGTTATTTTATGTTATTCATCCTCGTCTCAGGGTTTAGATTCTCAATGGAAACGTTGCGCTGTTGACGGACTAAACGCTTTTCGAGACAGTCCCCCGCCAAAAATTCGCGAGTGAAAAGGCGCTCGGCTATTTCAGTCCGCGCGTCCGCGGACGAGTTGCGGATCGGAGAAATCGGTGACTTGATGCTCACGTATTACACGGTCCGTGGCCGACAATCGCGATTCGGTCCGTCATGTGATTCTGGCACAACGGACTCGCCACGCGTTTCATAGACTCTCTTGGACTAGACTGGCTGTACTTGAGCCAAATCGTTCCTGCGAAAAGTACGCGTCGCAGAGTAGGTTAAATGTCGTATTCATCTTTACCAAAAGGCCCATTTTGGAAAATTAATAAGGTTCCACATTATAGTGTCTATGATAAACAAGCCAGCGGGAACAGGAACATGGTTTATTGAACTGGCGAGTCTTCAACGTACGTGTTACGAGCAGGGGGGCGTGAGCGCCCATAGTGTACTTTATGGGCGCACACTGGCGCTGTCGTCGGTCGCGTACTAAGCGTACTATTGCAACACATACAATTTGTTTATTAATTACTTTCGAGTAATTAACTTTTTTTTTTAAATTTGTGAGCTTATATTTCCATTTGAAACTTGCTGAGGATCATGAATGGTTTCAATTAGAAATGTGCTCAGGAACATGAACAACGACCAAATCAACGTATTTTAGAAATTTGGAAGTCGCGTACAGCATTTTACTGCGCTCAAACAAAAGAACGCTAAATTTGGACGCGTTTTTATGTTTCGGCTTCCTATCGGAGCGCACCTTTTCGTCAGCGGTCCTGCCAGTAACGACTCGACGAAGGAGAGTCTTCCGTGTCGTCTGCTTGAAAGACTTGTTTTCAAAACATTACTCGCGTTATTCGAAATCCCACTTTGGCTGTATCCAGTTGCTACGCGTAATGTTGGATGCTTTTAGAAACTTCCACGACGCTATGCTCACTTAGTTCACACATCACCGAGCACTCGTGGCGGCCGTCAGTGGCATCCACGACGCCTCGACGGCTATAACAACGACCGACGTCGCTCCTCCGTCCTCAGGAGTACGTGACGGCACCATTCCACCCGCATTGCGCGACCGTGCTACAGCTATCGCTTTCGTTCCTTCTTGTAGGAGGGAAGGAAGTGTGGCACAAGTGCGTTGCGGGGCTCGGGGGCATGACGGTTGGCGGAAATAGAGTAACTGTATAGGCTCTGCTTGCAGAGCCAGAGTATCGCGTTCCTTTTCCTTTCGCCGCCATCTCCGCATTGGCGGAGGAGTGGTCACGTGGGCAGAACTGGATCCGACATTCGTGCGGGAAAGCGGCCTCCCAGAGTGCCGAGTTTCGGGGGAACATATTTTCCGCTTTGAGTTCGCAAAATATAGATCCCAGACTAAACTGGAACGAACCGAAAGCTTCCTGAGTCATTGAACATTATGTGCGTCAGCTGGGTACAATACAATCCTGTTTTTATAACGCGAGCGATGTTTTAGGACATCCGTTTCCAAGGTATGGGAAGCAGACGACACGGACGACGATCGCGTTGCTCGCGTCTGCGGCTCTCGCGGAGTGATACAGGATATGCGACCGGCGCATCTGGCCTTCTTGGCGAGTCGGCGAGCTCTCGTCCGAAAGCGAGGGGACGGCGTTTTCGTCAGCCGCTGCGTCGTTTACCGCAATGAATTGACGAGTTCACTTCACACGCGACCCGCAGGATCCGCGGGTGCGATTTTTGCGATCGAGAGGGAAACAGGAAACGACGGGAGAACGATGACGGCGCATGCGCGGCTCGTCGCTGCACACCGCACTATTTTCCTTACGCAGCGCGCCGCAGCACGCCACAGCACGCTCCTCGCGTCTGCGCCTTCGCGTCCCCTGCAAAAACCGACCGTGGCTTCCCGCAGTGCTTGGCTCCAGAATGGCACCATTGCGGTACTCTGCTCCGCAAGCGGAGCATATGCAGTTACTCTAGGCGGGAAGATGCGCTCCGATAGAAAACTGAAGTCTATCGAGACACGTCCAAATGGAGCGGGTTTTTTTTTTTTTTCGGAAAGCAGTAAAATGCTGTAGTTGTCTCTATATTAAAAAAAAAAAGAGTTCATTTTGTCTTTTTTGATGATCTTCAGCAAGTTTCTTGTTGAAACCATGCATATACATTCACTCATTAAAAAGTTAATTACTCGGAAGTGATTAATAAACTAATTATACCGACCATTATTGATTTTCCTAAATGGACCTCTTGGCTGAGAGTAATGCGACATTAACCTTTTTTTCTCCGTGCTTTACGCAGGAACGATTTGGTTCATGTTTCGAAAAACACCCCCAACAAAGAGCTTAGGGCCCGGCATGTATCAACTAAAGAAAAATCTCTCTGCTGGGGTGGAGCTTGGTCCTACACATGATCAGGCTTTCTCGTTTTTTGCGTTTCGGTCGACTTGCGCGGCGTCATTCACAGCTTTCAACAAAAGACATCACGGAAGCTGTCGACTAAGCTGTCGGTTGTCGCGATCCTGGCGGTCGGTTGTAGAAGTGCTGTTGAAGAAGGCGAGCGTTCGGAAGCATCGTTGACTACGTCGTGCCATCCCGTAGCTCCTGTTGTTTCCGTCAACTGGCCGGCTGCAGGGGGAACCGGTGGCTGAGTGAGTTAGCGCACCGCGGCACCTGGAGCGGAAGCTTGCGCTGCGGAACCCAAAGTGTTCAATCCCCCCACCCCTGCCCGTTTTGATCTGGTTGAGCATCGTACCGACGTGCGCGTCACTACTGCGTGATGCACGTTAAAGACCTCAGGAGAGCATGAGAGGTTCTGCGCCTACAAAACTTTTTATCTATTGGCGACTCTAGCCAAATCGAAGCCGTGTAGCGGCAACACTGAGAAACTAAAGACAGGAGGTCCTTTCGACTCTGTCGTCTGCTATCGCTGCTTGGTTCTCGTAGATAGCATAGAAACAAACATCGTTTCCTGTAATTATTTTTAGGCTTCCGCCATGTCATTCCTACGCACTGATTAGAAGAAGGTTTCTACGGTCCGAAAATCGCTTTGCTTTCATATGTAACTCCGATTTTACGCTGTAGGACAAGAAATTGATGGTGGTCCGCGTGCTGAACAACGAAAACGACCTCCTTTCGTCCGCCATTTTGCCTGACCAGCGCGCCCCCTATAGTTCGCTGGAGTCGCGAATAGCTGGGACACCAGCCGCCCACTGTGGCTGACTAACTTTCGGCTGTCTAAACATACACACGACACAATTATTACGGCTACAGGAACGTTCTTAGGTCTATCGGCTAAGAGCGCCGTACGAAACAGCTTTTCTCCGTTGCCCGCACGCGAGCAGGTATACAAGCGGATAGCGTTTCTACCAGCAGCACCGCTCCCACGGGCAACCGAGAAAGACCAGTTTCTAACGACACTCCTGTGGCGCAAACTAATGTTCGACGTAAAGACTACAGATAGAATCACTATCCACCGCAGGTTGTGCATGCAACGTTCCACCGGTTCCGCCGCTTCTGTCCACAGGGCGGCCTCATAACAGTGAGCGCCATCTAGAGAGCCTCAATTACAGGGAATGTCCAACTGCTCGATCAGGGTCACGTGGTTCATATTTGCAATACGAGCTGCGAGGAGGTAGCGTTGAGCGTCTGAGAGCGTCTCCGCCTGCGTTCCTCCTCGCCACGCGACAACGCAGCGCATGCGCAGTTGTGACCAATCGGCAAGGGAGGCGTCCGCCATTAAATTGCAAACAGCCCCCGTGGTTGGAGAGGGACCCTCTCTTTAATCTAGGCGCACCACCGAGCGATCCACGCGCCTCGAAAAGGCGCCTTCTATGAGGCTTGTAAACTGACTTTCATTCATCACTGTGGAGCTCCAGAAGGGGGGCCGAAACAGGTGTCTGTCTGTACGCTGCTCCGTTGCTGTCTCACCGCGAAAGGATCGCGAGGCGGGCGGAAGCACGTGACTCCACGAAGAAACTCCAGGAAGCAAAAATGAGGGCGCGGTAAAAGTTTCCGACGCTTTCCATATTCCGTTTGACAGATCGTGGAGGAGGTTGCAAGCCATCCGAGCCAATCCAGTGCCGTGGGAGTGTTACGTGATTTTTGGGAGGAGCGCCGTCGCGCGATCACAGCGATCACAGTGCTGGGTTAGCTGGGATGGCTCGTCCGCTGCGGTCTATTGGAAGGGGAAGCAGAGAACATGTTCAATTATGCACCTCACTGCCGTTTTGACACATATCAAGTACCCCTCCGGGATCGAAGCAGTGACCGCAACAGCTGCACATGGCGGCCGTGTGGCGTAAGGTAGATGACGAAGGTCGTCTGTTGGACTCTAGTATTTCTTATCATCTCCCCTCTCCCCATGAATTTTTGTTAATTGGCTCGGGGTATTTAATATATGGCCGGCTACACTTCGAGGCATCGCGAGTCATTTAAAGCTTTTTCTTCGTGTCTTTCGCAGAGACCTGGAAAGCAACAACCTGACGGTGATCGACCGCCACAACTTCCAGGGAATGCACAAGCTGCGCATTCTGTAAGTTATCGCTGCCACTATACTTCTGAGAGGCGCCCTGGCGCACGGGGACCAGTCTGTCTTCGGGGGCCGCTGAATGCCTCCAGGGTCGTGTGGCCTTCAGCCATGCGCGCTGAGGCAGGTGACTCAGCTGCTAAGCGAAATTACCTCGCCCTACAGGGCTCGATTAATTGGGTCGGCGCACACGTGACGCCGCCCTAACTTTAGTTCATAGGAGGCAGGCCGCAGAGCACGCACAGAACAGCAGCGATGATGCCGCACCGCGCGAAAGGATTAGACGGAAGGGAAGCCGATACGCGAAGCATGGAGCGTACATTTGACAAACGCGCCACCGTTTTAATTGGCAAGTCCCCACCAATGCATCGCTGCAGCGGCAGTGCCAAACTCGCCGGTGAGATTGGTCTGTTGGTGCTCTATAATTTACCCAACTCTGTGCGTATATAGTGGCTCGTGATATATGTACAGTCTCCGGCGATATGAAAGACCCACTGGGAGCGCGTGGCCGAGGCGGTGGCTGGCGGGGGTGCTGCGAGCGCTCCGGGCAATTCCATTCTGCTTCGAGGGGAGGACGCTCACTCAAGCTCAGCACAAACTGATAGGAGCGCGCTTTAGCTGAGCCCCGAGTGAGCGTCCTCCCCTTGAAGCAGAATGGAACTGCCCGGAGCGCTCGCAGCGCCCCCGCCAACCACCACCTCGGCCACGCGCTCCCAGTGGGTCTTTCATATTGCCGGACACTGTACCTCAACCCGTGACTATACACGAACTCGTCTCTGTTAAGTCACGGCGCGGTGGTGGCGCGTCGGGCCTACTTCCGGTCTGGGGCTGTGGGCAGAAGCCCCCATGCGTTGTTTTGAAAGGAATCAGGACAAAACCCTGCTTTCTAGTTAAAATGCCGCGACTGGGGCTGTACCAAAAGAGTCGAGGAAGGTTTGAATGTCAGTTTTCGTGTGCTCGGTTCGTCCGAGAACGTGGATATGTGCCGAGAAAAGGGAAAACCAGACGCCGTCGGACCATGATTGCCTGGGCGGGAAGCACTTTGGGTTGAATTCACGGATACTTGTGGTTATTAGATTTATTTGTTTTGTTCCAACATGAACGCCGGAAAACCGTCAAGTTGTACGGACCACCTGCGGACTACGTTCAGTGCGTCTTCAAGTTCAAACGGCTGCGTGATCGTTCGAACTGTCGTCTGCTCTTGCAGACGTTTCTGCTTGTCGTCTGCTCTTTTAGACGATACCGGCCCGTAGACCAAACTTGGGACCGGTACTTGCGATAAGAGGTAAGTGCGGGCCTCAAAAGACTTAAGTTTGAAGGTTGCTGAGCAGGCTCGATGTAAACAGTAGATACAAGGAGATATTTAGAATAGTTACCAGTGGCCATCACCGACTTGTTATGCCTGATTCACTTGGTCCGATTCTGCTTAAGATTTTCAGTACCGACGTCGACCATCTCAGCTACGGTTCACGCTTTTGCAGCCGGAGCGTCGTCGCGACTGAAAATTGCGAGCGAAATCTGATCATGCGAATCAGGCCTTAGCGTACATTCTGCGGCGTCCACGCGGAATGAATCGCTGCATGTCACATTATTCACGCGAAGTTTTGCGGTGTTACGAGCCTCGTTAATTTCGCTGAGGCCGCTCAATCAATCAATTCATTGCCAGGAAGACGTAGAATCAACAATTCGAACGCGAAAAAGGGCAGGGGGACTCACACCGACGCCGAAAACACCGAATTTCAATGGTTTGTTTACGGGCGACGGCGAGCTTCTTGCCCAAACCCCCATCGCGCATGCGTGGCGCCGGTGGCGTCCACTAGGGGCGCTCCGGTTTGTTTGTAAACATGAGTTGGTATATAAGGCGTACGTCTTGAATGAATCCAAACTAGCCACGTGTGGGGAAGGAGATATTGCTTATATTTATATTGAAAAAAACAACGTAATTTGTAGAAAGAAGTTGGTGGAAATATCAGACTAACGAACGGCTTTCAGGACGATAGGACCCAATCCTCGAAAGCGGCCGTGGCCGCGATAAGGCAGCGGTCTTCACGCAACTTCTTGACTACGACCCGTTCACAGATGGAACAAAGGCGACGAGCGCTGTGACAATGCACTTTTGGCAGTGATGAATTGGCTCCCGAGGATCGGGGCTTTGACTGCGCTCGGAGTGCAACAATACTTTGATTTGTGAAGGACGAGCATAGTCAAGGCAGACTGCAGGTTCGCCAAGGCCATCAAGGGCTGCAAAAACCAGCTAGAATCGAATCATTTCTAGATAAGCTGAATCATCACCAAGTCATTACAGCAGTTCTATCTGGAGTTTGACGCTTGTTATCCCTAAGAAGACTTGAAGGCGAAAGCTCAAGCGCCGATGCATTAAAGACAGACACATGATTTACTCGCTGAGTCATCCCTCTTTATGTGCTGAGTCATCCTTCTCAATGTGCTAAGTCATCCTTCTCAATGTGCTGAGTCATCATCTTAATTCGCTTAGTCATCCACTGAGTGGTGACGTAAACGTTTTGGTACCTTTCCTGTCGCCGACATGTTGTCGCTCAAGGACTTTGCAGGTCGACTGAACGATGAGACATATAAGGCTTACGCCTTGATAATAATACCCGCCATCGACTTGACGGGGAAGCCCGAGGAAAACAGCTGCAGTGTAAGTACAGCTTGGCTAGTCCTCGGGCCCCTTCCATGGTCAACGGAAAACCAAAACAAACAAAAAGACGTACAGTGACACTGCCATCTCGGTAACAACTAAATTCACACATGAATGCAAAGAGTGCGGAGTGAAACGTAAATAATCGAACACCTCACCTGTATGTAGAGAAGAAAACGATCAAGCGCGAAAATGTCAGCCTAAATCTGTGGAGCTTCGATTGTAAAGACAAACATAATTAATTAAAAAAATATTTAACAAATTTGAGAGAGTAAAATTAATAATATGGGAACTATCGTTTGTTCGCTTAGAGTTAGCCCCTCGACGTTCATAACATACAAAATATGAGTTATTTTCGTTGTTTCCACGCGTTTGTAGTTGCAGAAAACATTTGAGAAAAACGAGCAGCGTTCTCTCAACTGGCAGCCAGAACAAGCGGCAACGTGATCTGGAGCCGATTATATGGCGCTAATGTTGATCATAGCCACGCGCTGGGGTTGCCAAAGCACAGGACACGCACTGAGTCCAAGACATTGTCCAGGTTCGGCTATTCCCGTCATCTAGTCTTGGACAGGTTACTCGAAAAAAATTATAGATTACAATTAAAATGACTCTTAGTTAAAAGGTATTCGGTTAGATTACCTGATTACTTGAGAAGAAAAGTGATTGGACGTTACGTGAAAAAGTAACCGCTATATTTCCGATTACTCGAGATTTTTAAAAACGACAGATTTTCTGCCGGTTTGTGTCTTTTGTACTTTTAATTGTTGGATTAAAATCACCGAAATATCACTTATCTTTTCACTTGACCAATTTTGGTAGACCATACTCCCCGTGGAGACTCGGCTCGAGAATTTCGTGGAATAGCAAGCTTGTAAAAAGAAAGGGCATCTTAGAAAGGGAAAGATAGCAAAATGTACTCCTGAAAGTAATCAAAATATCCTTTTAAATGTAATGAAATCATCGAAGAAGTAATGGATTACAAGTATTTTGATTATATGCAATGGGTGCCGTACAAGTCTGGGAATGCATGTCGGCGATTGAGCACGTACGTGATCAAATGTATGTCGAGGCATTAAGGCCAGTTCAGACACTTGCGTTTGAGTGCGTTTGGCTGCGTTGCGTCGAGAACCGAAAGCGAGTCACCGGCACATCTGCGCTTCGTATGAAGCGTGGAATCCAGTTCAAGGAATCATTTTGGCACGCGATATAAGCAGCAGGGATGTCCTGGTGGCTCGCGGCCGCAACGCAGTCAAAGCAGTCAAACGCAACTGTCTGAACCAGGCTTTAGAGACAACGGGCGCGTTAAGTTAGTGAGCTCCAGACTCCGGACATCCGCACTCGAGCGCGCGGGTTCGGAGCGTAGCTTAACGGCGCACTTTAATACCGAGGCGCCATCTGACGCCTATATTTTTAACATTTCCGGTTCCGGCTTTCTGGCGCGCGCTTAAACATAGCTCCCGTCTCGTCGAAACGTCGAAAAAGTGTTTGTTCAACGACGACTTCGATGAAATAAGTGCGCGGAGACGGCGGCAAAAACAAGAGCTTGTATTTGTGCTGCACGCTGTTGGTGCGGCGATTAAAGGTACGCCGAACGCCTTCTGAATTCCCAAAAGCCTTAAAGAATAACGGCTGAATGGCCGAATTCATTGGCTCGCCTGATCCTCAAATTGCGGTAAGGTACATCGACAAGCATTTGAAGGATGTATGCATACCTTTCTACACCAGCACCATGCTTTTGTTTTATTTTCCACGATGACGGAACGATTGCACGAGCTGCCAGGCGATCGCCGTTGAAATATCCACGCATCCAAGCAGGCGCGACTTGCGCCTCCGAGGGAGTCCCGAAAGGCTTCGGTGGCTTCGGCGCAAGCACGAACGACGCCGAGAGCTCCGAGCACTGCATGGTAGCTCAGAACGAGCAGCTCCTACTCACGACCGGCCTACCTCGGTGCCATTCCGAAAGGCTACGCCGGAGCCTTTCGGCCGCGGGGTTCGACTGGTGCGGTCGCGGTCGGCGAGGTTTGGCGAGGCGAGCAAGGCGAGCGCGGTGGTATCCTCGGAGCGTTCGGAAGCGAACTCGCTCACCAGGGATTGCGCACACCAGACGCCTCTGGTCCAGAGTGGCCCGGCGGCCCGGCCCGGAGCCCAAAACGCTTGGGTTTTGATGTTTCTTCCGTCTCGTGTGAGACCACCGCGTGAAACCACCGCGAGTAACCGCGAGACTGGCCGCGAGAGCGGAAACGCCGTCATCTTTCCTATGCTCTGTGTTTATTTTTCTGGTTCGCCTGAAAATTAAACTTTAGTTGACAGCCAGCGCTTTGTCCGTGCACTTCTTTCACTT